TGGGTAGAAGGAGAACCTGGAGAGATGTCACAATCCCAGAGATGAGAGATTATCCAGGTGGATATGGTGGTCGACAAAGTCAAATGCAGGACTTAGGTTAAGGTGGATGGGGACTGAGAAAAGATCATCAGATTTGGCAGAGCAAGCTCATTGGTAACTTTGAAGAAAACAGTTTTGTTTAGTCAGTAAGCATTTATTAAGTGCGTACTATTTGCCAGGCACTCTGCAAAGGGCTGGAGATACAAAGTAAAGCAAAAAACAATCTAACAGAAAGACAATAAACAAACAAGTATGTACAAACAAGCTATGTACAAGATAAATAGGAAATAATCAACAGAGGGAAGGCACTAAAGTTAAGAGGGATTGGGAAAAACTCCCTATAGAAGGTAGGATTTTAGCTGGGATTTGAAGGAAGCGAGGAAAGCCAGTAGGCAGAAATGAGGAGGGGGAGCATCCCGGGCATAAGGAACAGCCAGAGAAAATGCCTGGAGCTTAGAGATGGAATGTCTTATTTGAATTACAACATGGAGGCCAGTGTCATTGGATCAAAGATTATGGGGGTAGGGAGCATAAGAATAGAAAGGTTGGAGGTGGGGAGGTTATGAAAGGCTTTGAACACCAAACAGAGGATTTTATATTTGATCTTAGAGGTGATGAAGGGCCACGGGAGTTTATTGAGTAGAGGGGTGACATGGTCAGACTTGCACTTTAGGAAAATCACTTGGCAACTGAATGGAGGATAGCCTGGAGTGGGGAGAGATTTGAGGCAAGCTGAACAACCAACAGGCTTTTGCAGTAGTCCATGTGTGAGGTGATGAGAGCCTGCACTAGGATTGTGGTGGTATTAGAGGAGAGAAGAGTATATTCAAGAGATGTAAAGATGAAATCAACAAACCTTGGCAACAGATTGGGTATGGAATGATAGTAATTGAGGATGACACCTCGATTTCAAGCCTGAGGGACTGGATGATTGTGGTGTCCTTGATAATAATAAGGAAGTCTGGAAGTGGGGAGAATTTAGAAGGAAAGATAATGAATTCCATTTTGGACATAATTGATTTTAAGATATCTGCAGGATGTCTAATTCAGGATGTCTGAAAGACAATTGGAGATGTGAGACTAGAGGTCAACAGAGAAGGTAAGTAGATTTGAGTATCATCTGCAGAAAGATGATAAGTCAGTGGGAGCTGATAAGATCAAGTGAAGATGTATAAAGAGATGAGAGAAGCGGGCCCAGGGCGAGAGTCCTGTGGGACACTCATCGTTGATTAGTGGGCATAACCTGGATGAAGATCCAGCAAAGGAGACCAAGAAGGAGTGATCAGTTAGGTAGGAGAAGAATCAGGAGAGAGTAATTTCCCAAAAATCTAGAGAGAAGAAAGTATCAAAGAAGAGAGGGTGACCAATAGTATCAAAGGCCACAGAAGGGTTAAGGAAAATGAAGATAGAGAAAAGGCCATGGGATGTGGCAATTAAGAGCTCATTAGTAACTTTGGAGAGAGCAGTTTTGGTGGAATGATGAGATTGGAAGCCTGATTGTGTAGAGCTAAGAAGAGAGTGAGAAGAGACAGCCTTTTAAGAAGTTTAGCCACAAAAGCCAGAAGAGATATGGGATGATAGCAGGGATGGATAGATCAAGTGAAGGTTTTTGAGAATGGAAAAAACACAGGCATACCTGTAGACAGTGGGGAAGCAGTCAGTAGACAGAGAGAGATTGAAAATAAAAGAGAGTGGGAATGACAGAGAAGGCAGTTTGCTGGAGGAGATGAATGAAACAGCATCCTTTGTGCAAGGAGAAGGGCCTTGACAAGAAAAGGGACCACTTTTTTGTGTGAGATGGGAGTGAAGGAGGCCATAGTGGCAGATGGAAACAGAATGAGATAAGATGAGGAAAAGGGAGCTCTAGGCAAATGGCCTCAATTTTTTTTAGTACAATACAAGGCAGGGTTCTCAACTGAGAGGATGGGGGGGGGGGGGCTATGGGAGGTTTGAGAAGGAATGAAAGTTTGGAAGAGCCATTGTGGAGAGTGGGCTAATGAGTTAATTAAGAAGCTGTAGAAGGATTGCCTTGCAGCAATAAGAGCCCACTTAAGGTTATGTAACATAAAATTGTGGTGGACTCAAGTCAGAATGGTCGTGTAATTTTCTCCATCTTTGGTCAGCAGCACTTGTTTAGGAGTGAATACAGTGAATGGTGAGAGTAATCTAAACCTAAGGTTTGTCAGGGAACAATTGGTGATGTGATAAGGAGTCCAAGGACTCCAGAGAGGAGGATAGTGTAGCATTAAACTGGTTCACCAGGGGATCAGGGTGGGGAAAGAAAGAGAACGTAGATAGAATGGGCCTGGGAGAAAAGTGAGGGGTTGAGAGATTGGAGATTATAGTGTGGCTAGAGAACAGGGTTTAATGTTGTAATGCAGAGGGCAAGGTGGAAAGATTGTCAACAGGTAAGGGAATTTCAAAATTCTTGAACATGGAGGTAGTTGCATTTGTGGCTGATGGCAAGATCAAGGGTTTGACCATCTTTGTGTATCACTCAGGTGAGGGAGAGGGAAGTAGGAAATGAGGAAATGTCATGGGAAATGAATAATAGGTTGAAGAACTGGGAGTTCTTAGCATGTTTGAATTGAGAGATATCAGAAGCCAGGCTACAGAGGGAGAGTAGAGGCAGTGGAGGCAATGAGTATGTACTGCTTGTGTGTTGGAGTTTGACTTAGAAAGGGTAAAAAGGGTAGGTGACTATAGTTTGAAGGTAATGGTAAGGCCTAGTTAAGTGTTTTTAAGCATGGAGGAGACCTGAGCATGTTTGAAAACACTGTGGATAAAACTAGTAGCTAGGGAAAAGTTAAAGTTGAAGAGAAAGTGAATAATTGTGGGGGAGAGGGGCAGTCTTCTGGAGAAAATTGGAGGGGATATGCTTTAGGAGGGCTTGGTTTTGTCCAGTATATCTTGGCCACCTCTTTATCTGAGAATGAAGAAAAGAGGAAAATATGGGAGATGATATAAAGGGGCTTGAAGGTGAAGAGGGAGTTTAAAACAGGCCTCAGTTTTCTCAGTAAAATAAGAGGCATGGTCCTCAGCTGAGATTGAGTAAGGTTATAGACAGATTTCATGAGAGAAGAGAATGTTTGGAAATGTTTCAGTGGGGCTTGAGATAGGAAATTAATTAGGAAGGAAGAACAATATTCCCTTATGATTTCCTTCCCACTTAAAATTTAGTGATCCTGAGCTACTGTAGCAGTTCTCTAACTAGTTTCCTTGACTTTAGTCCTTATCCCCTCAAATCTATCCTACATACCCGGTATTCTAGATTAATAAAGAGTCTGGTCCTTCAAACCTCTTACTGATCTGGACCCCTTCTACCTACCCAGATTTTCTTTTCCTACTCCCAGCCCTTCTTTTTTAGCCACCTCTAGTCTCACTGTTGCTGAAACATAGGACATTCATTTCTCACTCTGATCTTCTATCCTAGTTATAGTTCATTCCACTCCCTCCCTCACCCCCATCCTTATATATAACCCACTAGTGGATAAAGAGCTGGACCCAGAGTTATTAACAAGACCCAAGTTCAAATTTTGCCTTAATCACTAAATGTGTGGTCTTGGACCACTTGACCTTTGGTTAGTTTCATCGTCTGTAAAGGAGGATAATAATAGCACCTACCTCCCAGGTTTGTTGTGAAGATAAAATGAAATAATATTTGTAAAGCACTTTGCAAACCTTAAAGTGCTATATAAATGTCTTGTTATCATGACTAATTATACCATCAAGACTTAACCTTTTCCATAACATCTCTCATCAAGATTTCTTAACTTGAGATTTATTAACCTCATTTTTTGATAACTGTATTTCTATATCATTACTTTCCTCTGTAATCCTATGCATTTTAAAAGTTTTTCTGAGAAAGGGTCTGCAGATTTCAAGAGAGTGTTAAAGGAAGGGTTTATGACCCGCAAAACCCTACATGATGATCTCCTTCTCTGAACTTATGCACCACACTCATCTTGGCATATATTGCATTGCTTTTTACTCAGCAGTTTTATTTGTATGTTGTCTTTATCCCCAAAAAGAGGATTTTAGCTGCTTGAGGTCAGGAATATTGTCATTCATTTCTTTTAGGTCTCACTTAACAATTAGCACAGTGCTTTGAGCATATTAGGTACTCAATAGATACTTGTTATTGAGTAATTAGTTTTACTTTGAGCCTTTCTCCTGTCTTATATCTTTCCTTTAACTCTAAGCTTGTGTGTGTGTGTCTTTGTCTGTGTTGTGTGTGTATACATACATACATACATATATACATACATATATATTTTATGTATATATTTTTGTAGTTAGCTTCATTTCTGTGTCTGTGATTGTCATCCTGTAAGAATGTCGGTATCTTTATTGCTGTCCTTTGTCTTTTTCCCTCTTTCCCCACATTTTTTATCTGCCATTCTCTTTTATTCCCTGCCTTCTCATTTATTTCCAACTGCCTCTTTTTAACTGGATTTAATCTAGAATCAGAATCTTTTATTTATGCATAATTGAATAGTTTTTATATTCCCTATTTTTATTTTGAAAAGGATATGAGTAGGGCATATATTTCTCTCAAAAAGTAAAAGTTGCCTTTTTACTTAGGTGACCTCTGATTTTTCTTTGTCTCAGAGACTCTGAGATATGTTTCTTCAGTATGGTGTAGGTGTAGTAGATGACCATTAAGTTGTGTTTTTTTTCCCTTTTTTTAAATAAATTTATCTTTAAGAAATTATTTTTTTCTTTTTTCTTTCATGTAAAAATTAAATACACAAAAGTATTCTGGTTAATTGAGAGCTCTGACTAATTGACTTTTTAGGTAGCAATATAATAATACTAATACTGAGGATCTATTAAAAAATTTGTGTTGGTGCCTAATTATCTTTTTAAGCATACAGAGGAGAAGTATTTCACATACATAAATCAGATTTGAGAGTACCATAAACTCATACATTCACTTGAATTATATTTCATTGTTACAGGTAATATTCAGGTATCTTGGATTAATGATACATCAGCATTTGTCTCTCTGAGTCAACCTGAACAAGTGCAGATTGGTAAGTATCTGTGGCTTTTGTTCTTTTTTAATCTGATTATTATATCATGGGTATACTTTACCCCTGGAACCTAAGAAAAAATACAGTGGCTTTACAGGACTCTAACTATCAAAGACTTGTCTAAATATAAATTCAAGAACATTAATGACATCAGTAGAAACACTGACTAAATGTAACATTTGGACTAGAAGCCAGCCCAAATTTCTTTATTCCTCTAAAATACTTAATCTTTAGAATAGAGACTTAATGACAGACTTTACATGTTTCTGTTGCACTTTTTTTTCCATTTTGTTAAAAAATACAGAGTGTAGCTTCAAAATCATCAGCTGCACTTTATCACATCAATATAGGCTTTCTTTTGAGCATATGAAACATTAGTTAAGGGGGCCCTAAATTTCACATTTGAAAACTTTTTAGAGTTGGAAATGCCAGGGTAATCATCCCATTAAGAATTTATGCTGCATTCGTTTCATAGGAAGATGTACTGAAGATTATTTTATTTTCTTGCAAAAAATAAGCTTTTCAAAGATAGATTGAGCACAACTTCTGATCTCAAGCAATGAGATTTATGGAGTTTCCCAGTTCTTGCTTTATATTCTTTGGGGTAAAAAGATAATTTATTGAGGAAAACATGTAACTTTTAGTATTTATGAAGCTACGTCTTCAAGAATGTCAGATAACTTGAAGCTTAATAATTGAAAAAGTATCACTTAAGATATTTTTAGTAATATGCCAGATTATTATTATTTTTTTTTTTTACTTTTAACCTAATTTTATTCATGCTTGCTTTGGGATCAGGAATAGATTATTCAGCAAAAACATAAATATGTCTTACCATGTGCAACTTTTAACCTACAATAATGATGTATCTTAATTACGTCCATGCAAACAAGTCTAACATTATCATTAAAAAAAAACCACACACAATTAAGACTTCTAGGAGCATTTTATAATAAAGTAATTCCTAATTTTTCTTTGTGGATAGATCAAGCACTTCCAAAATACAAATTCCTATACCCAGTGAGTGCTTTACTTAAAACGAACACTTAAGTGAATTGAGTATGTGGACAGCCTCAGAACAAGCTGATATTATAATATTCAGCTAGGTAGGCAACAAACTGTAGTGCCAAATGGAAAAACTTTATTTGTAAATAAATTTCAAAAAACTAAGTTAACTTTTCTATAATTAAATACAGAAAATTTACTGATTTACTAAAATAAATAAGATGTGGTGTATTAACACTTCACTAGAAAGAATGCGTACCAGAACACTTATAAACAGTGAATGATTCTTATTAAGAAGTTACTATAACAACACTGACTAAATAGAAGTGCATATTGTGAAGCATTATGAGTGGTACATGTTTTGCCACATATTTCTGTTACCTTGAGGTAGATAATACATGTGTACTAAATTCGGCGTTCATTTTCAGTTGCTGCTGGTGTCATGTGTTTTAAGAAATGTGTACAGTATGAAAAACTTGAAAATACTCATGAATGAAAAATGTTTTAGGGAAAAAATAGATATTTTCATGCAATTATGTACAGTCTCACTGTGTAAATTTCAAGGCAAGATTTTTTTTTTCCCTGCAAAACAGATAACCATTTTACTGAATGTTTTTACTTGGCTTTGTGCATTTCTTTTGTCTCCTCCTGCATTGCATTATTTTTGCTCTATTCTTTAATTTTGTGTGCAAATGACATGCCAGTTTAAAATGAAAACTATTTCATGTATAGAAAGTAATTAAGGATTTTAAAAATCAAGAACTAATGAAATCCATACTAAAATAGTGCCATCTGATTTAAGTAAAAAAATTACTTATACTAGTAATAAAAAAGACAAAACATATTTCATGAATACAGAAAGAACTGTCTGCTGAGTGTTTTAGTTCAGATGTTTTCAGAATGCTGCTGTATGTTTTATGGGGAATCTGGGGGGGGGAAGATTTTATAGCAGAGGGTGTTAATGTGGCCTGTATTGATTTAAGTAGTGAATCCACTGGACTGTGAAACTATGGGATGCCTTTAGACTCAAGCTGCTTGTTAAAGAGGAACTCCCCACTATTGTGAAGAAAACCCTCCTCACTTTCTCTTTCCCAAACTTAATATGCCAGATTTTAATGGCCGTAAAGTGCTAGCTGCTAAACTTATGTAACCTTAAGAGGATATTTACATTATGTGAATATGAACATTTTTAGTCATATATTCTCTGATGAATGGCATCTGGGTCATAGTAAATACAATGATGGCCTCAAAGCCAGGAAGACCTAGGTTCAAGTCCTCTTTCTGTCACATACTAGTAATGTGTCCCCTGGGCAAGTCACTTCAATTCTCAGTGCCCTAGGCAACTTTCTGAGATTGTAACTTGTGAAGAAGGTATTAGTCTGTTACCATTATTGGTGGAGGGAGTTTGAAAGTAATCTGTGTTGATGAGATCTCAGATATAGTCCCTATCCCTTTACCTATTTTCTGATATACATATTCTCATTTCACCTATTAATACATCCATCATATAGATTAGTAATCCCATCTGCCTGTGTCCATGATGTTATTGAATCAGCTCAAGAATTAAATGTTAGTGCTCTCAAATGAATTCAGAGTATATATAATATTGTAGTAAGAAAAAAACAAGGAAAGGTTGATGTCATGGGGAGTAAAAAAAGTTACTATGGATTTTTGGTTATATATAAATTTTTTCCATGATTCTAGATTAATAAATAGCAAAAGCCACACACTTAATAAATGGCATAGCCTTGATTTACATCAAATTCCTATAGCTTCCAATTCAGCAGCCTTTCCAGTATTGTCAAGCTGCCTCATATGTTTCAGAGTTCAGGATCTAAGAGTTAGAATGGTCACCAATGATAGTAAAATCTAAGGTATTGTATATTGATTTCAGTATACATGTATATTTGTACGTATGTATCCATGTATATTGAAATTGATTTACAATACCCTAGATTTTACTATCATATATCAATATATATGTATATCAATATACATATATATTTAAATCTCCAAGTGTGAGGCCAAGAGATAGGATATAGTGAATATTACAAGCCAGGCACTGTATTCTTTGAAAAATGAAGGAATATGACTTGGAGACTGGTACATGTCTATAAGAAGGATATTAAACAGGTGATAGTGGTAAGAGTAAACCTCAAAGTAAGAAAGGTTGCTCAGTGGTGGCAAAGTGATGGTCTGAAAGGTGGAAAGCATCCTATTTGATCTCCTAAGAACTTGTTTGGTAGCATTAAGTATTATGAGAGATTATTGTTATTCATCCTTCATTCTTGAAGAGGACCAGTGACATCAGGGTGGTGTTCTGACTTGCAAGCAAATTTGATTTAAGTGAAGCACATCTGTGCAGTCATCAACTTAACTTTCTCCTCCAGAGTCATCAGAGTTCAGTGGCAGGACATAGGTTCAAGGCAACTGTCTTTTCCGGTTCTCATTTTGTCTGAGGCAGTGCCCATTCAGTAGTTAAAGGCTAGGTTAGAATTGAGGCAAAAGATGGCCAGGTTTGCCTTCGCAAAAGAATTGGTCTGGGAGGGGAAGACCCTCAGAGTTGCATTATGAGAGAGAATGGTGTTGTAGAAAGAATACTGGACAAGTTCTGGACTAGGAATGAAGACGTTTTGATACTAATTCTTCCTCTGCCACTGACTTACTGTGTAGCCTTGGGCAAGTCATCACCTCTCTGGATCTCAGTTTTGTCATCAGTAAAATAGTGGGATGAGCTATCTCTCCAAGGCCCTTTCCAATTGTAAAATTCTCTGTTTTACTTATTTATAGAGATGAGAAAACTAAAATCAGAGAATTCGAGTAACACTTGCCCAAAGACACAAAGCTAAATAAATGGAGAAGCCAGAATGTAAGCCTAGGTCTGACTTCAGTTTCAATATTTTTTCCACTAGAAAACTTTTCTATAGAGCAAGATTTAGTATATCTAATCTATCTTAGAGACGATCCAGTGAGATTTATTATAAAATATCAGGGATAGGCGGTGTTCCTTTAAGACAGAGACCCTTAAGGATAACATAGGGATTTTCCAGAGTGTTCATTTAAAATGTAAACATGATTACTTGTTTAAATGTATTGGGTATAGAAAATACTTTTTAAGGAAATATTCAGTGTCAAGTTTTTATCACTCCACACATTACAGAGGGGTTTTTTTGATTTGTTTTTTTTGGCTATACACACCAAGCAAATTATCTCACTCCTAATTTAAATGAGGAAACTACAGTTTAAGATGAGACAGTGTTAGGTATCTGACTGGATTCTATAGATAATAGATGAAAAATCTTTAATGTTCTTTAAATTTTTTATTAGTGCTTGTTTTTGATACAGTCTCATCCTCCATAAAATGTATTCCCAGAAAACAGTTAGAACAGAATCACTTCCTAAGTATACTTGCATCTGATCATGTGTCTTTAAAGTCCCTTTTGCTAAAAGGAAAAAAATTCCTTACATAAATGATTGTCTCTAGACATGCAATTTGCTAATAGAAACTAAATGTCACCATAGTATTTTTCTTATGTTTCGGAAGACTTTTAACATTAATATATTTCCATTTAGCTGTGTGTGGTTCAGAGTTGGAAAGACTATTTTTTGGGCGGAGATAGCAGTCCCTAGTGTTTTTGGTCTTTTGCCATAACTTTAGAAATTGTTTGCGTAGTTCGTGAAAGGATTGTCAAAATTTGGATTTTGATAGTGGTAATCCTTATGGTAGGAGGGATAAGGACCTATGTTGTCCTTAATGTGGTGCAAATGTTAATTTTAATTAGTCACTGCAGTAGAAACATTGTTAGTTGTTCATTCAGTCAGTACTGTAATGTTGGAAAAATCATTAGATGCCTATTTGTGTAGTAGTTTGTAAAAGCATCTTTGGCTCATTTATGAGCATTTTTTACTTGTATTTAAAGAATTTTTAAAGATACTTGACTTTTTTTTGTTAATGGCTCGTATCAGATTTGAAGTTGGGACAGTGTTTTATGTTT